TGCTGTTCGTGCGGTAATTTATTCTAGTACTGAGTACACTTTAGAAGCTCCACACAAATCTGTGACTTCATGGCCACGAAAAGCACACAAGACAATCGTGCACAAAATGTGCTGATTCTTTTTGACTTGTAAATAAAGTCGAGTGATGTCAATACCGTTTTCTCAGCAAAGCTTTTCCTCTGTGTCCACTGACAATAATCTCTTTTACAGTCCTCATCCTCTCCAACTCAGCAGTGCAGGTAAGACATTTCCTATTAAAGACACAAGTGAATGGACTGTATCACTGCACAGGTTATGCTAGCCCACATAGTACAAATATTTTGACCAGCTTTGGGACACACAACAGGTGATTAAATGTTGAGTCCTGATAAACCTCTGCTCCTGTGTCAAGCAGAGGTTTTATGCTTCTGTTTTTGCCTCCCGTACCTGTGAATTTCACACCATGTAACACATTTTAATGCTTTCAGTGTCTTTAGAGGCTTAAATGAGACAGAAGAAGAATGTAATCTCTTAAAATGAGAGCATGAGCTCCCGAGTGGCTCAGTTGGTAAAAGCACTCGTTCCGAGTGTAGACTGACCGGCCCGGGTTCGATCCCGGCCGTATCACTAACCGACAGTGACCGGGAGCTCACAGGCGGAGCACATTGGCTTCGTTCCGCCGGGGATAGGGGTGAGTACGTCGGCAGGGGCTTCGGTCCCATTAGCAACAGTAACCCTTGCTGGTCGATCGGGCGCCTGTGGTCCACATGCCAAAAAGCTGCATATGAAATGTCTTCTTCCGACTCATCTCTCTGCTAGCTTGGCTTGTGGACCGCAGCGCGAAAAGAAGCAGCGGCTAACATCATGTGTCTCGGAGAAGGGGACGTGCTTGTCCACGCTCTCCCGGATTGACAGTGGGAGTTGTGCAATGGGACCGAACATCGATGACTAATTGGCCATTCCAAATTGGGGAGAAAAGAAAATTAAAAGCATAGGCACAAGATACAAGGCAGTTAGGAAACACCAGAAAGGTTTGCTTTTTCATAAATTTTCAGTTTATGCGAAAGTAATGTTGCCCATTGTATTAACTGTAACTTGGCTTCATTTCCATATCGAGGATAGACCTACTTTTGCAAGAGATCATAGGGAATAAAAACTTAAGACGTGAATTACTTAGCCTTCATGGACATGGAGGTATTTTTTTATTCCAGTATCCTATATGTTTGCTGTTAAACCTGATACTATGCATAATAACTTATGTGGTGTATCTGAGGGGAATGGTAACAATGCTGCTTGTGAATTACTGCGGTGTTTACTGTATAACTTGGGTTATTACTGCATAAATGATGAGTGACTGCATATAAGGACATGGATGCAGTTTGCCCATGTTACGATTAAGGTACAGCAGGTAGGTAGTTGGCTAAAAATGTAGATCATTGTCTATTGCCAAGTACTGTCTGGTACTAACAGTAATCTATTGCCGACCAAGGCTACATTGTTACGGCAACAGTATTATTAATATTTTTGTTAGGAACATGGGTAGCCAGTTTGCTAGCTTGCTCACTTTCATGCACAACCAAGATGGATGTCATATCTTTGTTTCATTTGTTTGTGTTGAACACCGTGTTATGACTGGTATTATCACATTAAGGCCGTATGTAACTTTGTGTTCAAACTGCCCCCTGTAACTCTGCTTGTGTCTCCAGCTGAATCACCAGCTTGGCTGCGTTACCATGGTGAACTGCAGCCTGGTCTGTGCCCCCATGGACCGCTTGGGACAGAAGCTGACGCGGCGGAAGAGTCTAAAGGAAGACGTGATGGAGACATCACTGCAACGCTGTCTGTCCATCCTGGACCTGACGCTCCTGGGGGTGGGAGGCATGGTGGGGTCTGGGCTCTATGTCCTGGCTGGAACCGTAGCCAGAGACACTGCAGGACCTGCAATACTGGTCTCCTTCCTCACGGCTGCCATTGCCTCCCTCATGGCTGCCTTCTGCTACTCTGAGTTTGGGGCCCGTGTGCCCAGAGTTGGCTCAGCTTATATGTGCACTTATGTGGCTATGGGGGAAATATGGGCCTTCATAATTGGCTGGGGCATGATCCTGGAGTTCATGACTGCCAGCGCTGCCATGGCTCAGTCCTGGAGCAGCTACATGGACTCCATGTTCAACCACACTATCCGGAACTTTACTGAGACCTACATCTGCCACTGGGATGTGCCCTTCCTGGCCAGCTACCCTGACTTCCTGGCTGCAGGCATTCTTCTCCTGGCCACCTGCTTTGTTTGCTTGGGGTTGCACGTCTCCATCAAGCTGAACAACATCTTGTCGTCCATCAACGTAGTCGTTACCACCTTTGTCATCGTCTTTGGGTTTATGGTAGCCGACTCTGCCAAATGGAGCCAGGAGGATGGACGGTTTGCACCATTGAGGCTGTCCGGGATCATAGCTGCCACAGCCGGGTGCTTCTACACTTTTGTGGGATTCGATGTGATTGCAACATCCAGCGAGGAGGCTAAGGATCCCCAGAGGTCTGTGCCCATTGCCAACATCATCTGCATGGCCTTGGTGGGCACCCTCTCCATCCTGCTCTCTGCCATGCTCACCCGCAAAGTGGCCTGGTATATCCCAGGTCCTGACTCCGCCATCTCAGACGCTCTGCCGCGCCGAGGCTCCGGCTGGTTTGGCTACCTTGTGGCCTGTGGTTCCCTCTGCGGTGGGTGATTCTCTGCCTGTCAGAGCTCTTCATGTAAGGGTGATTCGTATTGGCACACACCCGGTTAACATTTCACTGCACAAATTAAAGCGCCATTAGTCCGGGAAAAAACTGGGAAAAAAAGTCATGTCCATCCCATCTATCCACTGGATGCTGCTTTGATCAATAGTTCCACCTCTCATCACTTAGCATTAGCAATTTTTACTAGCCTGCAAATATAGAGCATTAGATTTATCATATAATATCGTCAGAATATAACTTTTAAAAGTTGCCTTATATTGAGGCTAATATTTTTTATCAATTTAAATGCGAATTTCAAAGTATTTTTAGAGAACGGCCAAACATGCCTTTTCCTTGGTATCTAGATTACAGGTGGCCAAAGAACACAAAAACCTTAGATGGGTTGCCATGTTAGCTATGTGACAAAAAGTACAGTATAGGTGTGCAGAATCTGATGATGCAGCACAGCATCTGTGGAACACAAATAGTAAATTACCAGTTAGCCTAGTCTTCCCATGCCAATGCAGGTGACTTACAGTATGCAAATGCAGGTGGACTTTCTTGATGTATTGAGTTCTCTTTGTCTTGGATAAATCAAACAAATAATAATAAGACATTTGACATTTAAATTGAAATTTAAATTTCATCCACATCCACATATTTCAGAATTGAACACTTGGTGTAATAGCTGTTACATCTGCATCCCTTAAGATTTGACTCTGTAGTCAACATTCAAATTTCACTCACATTTCACAAAACACACATGTTGTTTGTGCGAGACAAGATGGAGCAGATTCATGCCTGTAAAATGCACTGGCATTTACATGTTTAATGATAGGCTGCTAAGGTATGCAGTCTGATGAAGACAATAACAAGAAACAAACACATTAAATGAAATGGCAGGATTTGTTTCTCAGATGATGTTAAGGCACTTTGATCCTTTGAGTCTTTTGATCATGTGACCACAGTGCTAACAGTACAATCCACCTCTCCCCCGCCAGCTATGACCACGTCCCTCCTCAGCACCGTCTTTGCCCTGCCCCGGATCGTGTACGCCATGGCAGACGATGGCCTGCTCTTCTCCATCTTTTCCAGGGTCAACAAGACCACCAAGGTTCCTGTTATAGCCAGCATCTCCTTTGGCTGTCCCATGGTGCTGCTGGCTGTCATCTTTGATGTGGAGATGCTGGTCGAGTTCCTCTCCATCGGTACTCTCCTGTCCTACACCTTTGTGGCGGCCAGTGTGATTGTGTTGCGGTTCCAGCCCCACAGAACCAGCCCCGGGACCTCATTCTCATCCTCCACCCAGCCCCGCCCCATGCCAAATCCTCCACCTGCTGGGGAGATGAAGCCGTACGTCTTCTTCTCTGACAACCTGCAGCTGGTGGAGGTGGAGGTGAAGGAGCAGCCGGTGCCGGGGAAGCTCAAGGCCGGCTGGGAGCGCTACCTGGGCCGCTCCCTGGGGAACTGTAGGCCAGGGCGGGTGGTGAAGTACTCTGTGCTGGCACTGATGGTGAGCGCGGTGTGCCTGTGTGCTGTTCTGGTGTTCGGGAGCGACCAGCAGCAGCTGCCGGTGTGGGCCTTTGCCCTGCTGCTGCTGGTGTTTGGCTTGGCCTTCTTTCTCAGCCTGGGACTCATCTGGGCCCACGAGTCACAGGGCCAGTTCAAGAACTTCCAGGTGAGCCACACCCACAGCCTCCTTCAGTCACACAGGATGGATCCCAAACCACCCAATATTCTCTCACTGGCTCACCACACCACTGGAGCTCTACCCATCAGTGCTGTGGGATGCCAATGTTTTAATGTTTTGCATAAATATGTCAAATGGAGAACAAATGTCTCTTTTGCTGGACTAACTTGCTAGCTACAAATGCACATATTCTATAACTCATAGCAAAAATATTAGCCTAACCAAGCAAGAGGGGCATTTGTGTAGCAGACATTCTTATCCCCAGTGACATACATAACTTACATTTTCACATGTTGTCTACTAACTGATATTTACAGAGGCAATCTGGGAGAAGTACCTTGCCAAAAGGGTACATCAGCAGCAGCCCAACAACAGCAACCTACACCACACTGCTATGATAGGACAATAACTGCATTTCAATTTGCTCTTTTAAAAATTGTCGTGTATGGCCATTCTCAATTTTTGATTTATTTGTAAGTACACCTTTCTTGTACAGCTCTCCAACTGCATAATACCATTCATTTTGTTAGCTTATTCAGTTACAATTACTCATTGAGCAAAAGCTTTTATCCAACAACTTACAGTACTTTGGAAGTATACATTTTGTTACTATGTGTGTTCAATGAGAATCAAACCCCCAACCGTGGTGTCACTAGTGCCATGCTTTACCAGTTGAGCCATTGGAACATTCATTCACTTGTATTCATTGCCTTGCTTCTGTCTTGTTGTTCCTTTTATGTATGTGCAATTCTTTTTACAAGTTGTATTTGTGTAAACTTTGCAGAAGAAGAACACATTTAAGACATTAAGCCGACAGTAAAAAAGAAATAAAACAGATATAAACACCACCATAATTATCACACGAATTTAGTACTAATTTAAAACGGTACGATTGTATTTTACGGACATTTCTCAGAAAGGTCCGTTGATAAATCACGAATTTAAAATTAATCAAGGTCCTGTTCCTTAGGCGGCATGGCTCCAGACAGGTCTTTGAGCATTCTTTTCAGCCAGTTAACCTGGCTGTACGGCTTACGGTTCAGATAACCTGTCATGGTTATCTCAGAAGAGGAAAGGGTAGAAAACTAAAATTCCCGTGAACACTTTGTACTCTCAATTTAACAATCCGTAAGTACGGTTTAGTACATCACACCCTCAATTTAACAGGAATTATTGGTAAGGAAAACTGTGGAAACTATGCAACACAGACGTTGTCCATGCTGATCACAGGAGAATGATACATTCTGTAAGACTTCCTCAAAATAAAATTACGTTTTATCGTCTCGCCCAACAGCATCATAAACTCACATCACAGACCTATGACACGGGTTTGGATTGAGGTCATTATTTGCTAAACCGTTAGTATGGACTGGGTACGAGTTCGCGAGCGATTGTCAATGTCCATGCTTCAGTGCTATCGAAACACAGACTGCGTTGAGAGCTCCGAGCAGAAGTTGCAGGTAATGGCTGATTTAGGACAAGTTCAGCTGTTTAGTTTAAAAATAGTTAAGGTCAGGTCAATAGTAAGGATCAGTCTTTATGGTCAGTTTCTGTTGCGACCTTTGCACTGAGTCGACTTTACCAAGAATTCCTGTTAATTGGAGGATCTGAATTAGTAAACCGTAGACACGAGTAAATTAAGGGCACGATTACTCAATCGTGTTTACAGATTGGTAAATTGACAAATTATTAGAGGGAATTTCATTTTTCGATCACGTCCTAGAATGGTCTCTATACCGTTTCACACGAGTAACTCAATAAAGAAAAAGGATATAACGCAGCTAGGCGAAGTAAAGCGAAGATTAAGGACCACAGTAACCGTTACTACTTAAATTAAGGTTAGCTACGTTAACTTGCCTGCCTTCTACCGATGCCGTTTTCAAGCCTAAGTGATTTTCATGTCGCCGTTTTTTGTTTTGATAACTTTTGCTAGTTTATTCATTAAACAATCCGTGTTGAAATAACAACACGAAATAAGAATTAAACAAATTCGAAAAGAATAGAAAAGAAAGAAATTAGACAGCTCGCAAGATAAGTGGACGAGTTGCTTAGACTGCGCCGTTAGCCAACCGTTAACAGTTACCGTTAGACTACAGCGTGAAACGCTTCTAGTGACTGAACTGTCAGTTCACCATGACTTAAATTCTATTTAAACCATATCAGTAGTCTGAAAAAAAGATTGATTCACCTTAACCAATTAAAATGTTACTTTAATTCTATTATTCTCTCTTTCTAACCCATAGTCCACTTTCATACCTTGGGATGACGGGCTCAAATCTGGAGACTAACGGAAACTAATGTTACTGTTGAAAATGACGTCATTCTTAGAACAGATGCATTATCGGAACTAAAGAGGGCATCACATTCCAGGCTGCAAGTGAATGGCACACGTGCGCTTTCCTCACACTTTGGCATCCGTTAATCCTTACTGTCAGTTTTTCCTAAACAAAAATTAAACTTGAACACCATAATTCTGGCCATTTCAAATTAATTTAATGGTAATTTCAAACTGAGTCGCAGCATTCATTCAGCTGTGATGAGCGGCACAACTGTGCCTGACTGGCATTTTTCAAAAGTTGGTACTCCAAAAAATGACAGCTTTTTCAAGGTGCTGATTATAGTTTTTGATGGCATACTTTTGTTGGCACTGTGTTTAAAATAACATTGCTCTTAAAAGAGGTGTGTTATGCGGACATCAAACCTTGACTTGTCAAAATTTTTTCTCAGAATTCAGTTACTAAAGCTAACATTACATCGGAACACTTCAATCTATCTCTTTTATGATTAAAACATCGCTTTTGAAATGAAAAAAGTGCTACTCAAAATTTAATAATCATGATGACCTTCCACAGGCCTTGGGCCTGATCCCTGTTGGTTTTTGTTTCCTCAGGTGCCTCTGGTGCCCATTATCCCTGGAGTGAGCATTCTGGCCAACATCATCCTCATTTTTAATCACAGCTCTTTCACCTTTCTCCGATTTTCTATCTGGTTGGTTATAGGTAAGAGTCTAACATGGAGAACACCGTTGCCATGGACACGCTTGTAGTGTATCCCTTAGGCGCTGTGAAAAACACCAGAAACACTTTAGCACTTGATGACCTGGCCTTTATATAATGGCCATTCCTTTGATACATGCCATAGATGCTTTCCTAACACACACCAATAATGCTGTCTCTTTATGAATATTCCCTTTATACCCTTTATGAAGAGTGGTGGTGGGTGAAAACAGAGTGTACGTACCTGTAGCTAGTACAGCAATGCACACAGCACCAAAACCTCTTACCAACCAGAACCTCTTAGGGTGCTTTCACACCTGCAGCCTTTCGTCCATTTGAATCGAACTGGAGTGCATTTGACCCCTTGGTTCGGTTCGTTTGTGTAGGTCAGAACGCAGTAATCGCACTCAGGTCCACACCAAAATAATCGGCCCGAGACCCCCAAAGAGAGGTGGTCTCGATCCACATCATCTGGCGAACGCTGGTGCAGTCCCAAAGTGACCAATGAGGGAGCAGTCTGCTCTTCTTTTACAAATTTTGGTCCGTTTAGAAATAATGCCATGTGAAACTGCACTGAACCTACGTCATTATGCAACATTGTAACAATTTATTCCCTGCTGCGGACCAAAGCAATCGAACCATAGGTCTGAAAACGCCCTTAGATGAGGAAGGTACAGGGGACAGAATGAACACAGGAGCTGAGTATCTGGTCTCTGTAGAATATCTGTGAAGGTTCCTGGCTTGCCAAGTAGTTTTAACTCAGCATTCCGATTGGCCATACTGTTTATGCGTTTTTTTGCAGTGTGTGTGTCTGTATTGTATGTGTGTGTGTGAGTCTACAGGTGTATATGTCCACACCCCTGCCTGATGTGCCTCTGTGTGTCTCTGCAGGTCTGGTGCTGTATTTCAGCTATGGGATCAGGCACAGCAAGGAGGGCTTACAGGACCTCCCAGCACAGGAGCCATCAGTGCTGCCCAACAGTGGCCTGGGAAAGTCAGCGCATGCTGGGATAAAAGTCAACTAATCGACTGGTTCATTGATTGATCATTTCTACCCCTCTCCTCCTGTTCCTCGTTAGCTTTGTTCAAAATGTTGTCTACCCCCCTTGATTTGACAAATGTGCTCAATGTGTAGAAGCTACTATACTTCACCCCAGTGTCACCAGTTCAAATAAATAACTACATAACAAAAGTGTTCTTAATTGAAAACAAAATCTCATGTTCATATGGAACTTCCATCAATATCCAATAGATGGCAGCAAGAGTTGTTGTTTTTGAAAGTGAAAGTGTACAAGGATCTGTAACTTTTCTGGCATCAATATTGCCTAGCTTGCTAATTTGTATGTTAGTCTTTATTTCCACAAGCACTTTAACATTAAAAAAATTAAAATCCTTACTAAATTAAATGAATAAATGTGGCAGAACTTACATACTTGGACAGGGGTTTATTAAAAAATGTGTTTGGGGGAATGTTTAAAAAAAACACAATATGTAAATCATGTTAGATTTTTATATTGAACTATTAAAAACAAAAAAATAAGTAAATTCACTCTTGACCTGTAATATTTATTAATATTATTTTTAGTAATGTTCAGGCCTTGTGTTCATTGCTACATCACTGTTAGATTTCATGTGACTTCCAATAAAAATGTAGGTATCTATTTTGTAGTTACAATATTGTGTCAATAGCATGGTACATTTTGTTTCATTGAATAATTGAGCAGCTACTTGACTATGTCATTCAAGATGGGCTGGCACAGCGTATAATAACCTTCATGGTCTGTGAATTATAAAGTATTGTATCTATTATTAAAGATTTTGTGTTTTATGGTAAGTTCTTTAACCAAAGCCACCATTCCCTGAATGCCTCTTACAGGTTATATATTCCCTCACACATATTGCAAACAAGCCACAGAAATAATTGCAACATTACACAATATTCTCATTGAAGCAACATGTTGAGCAACATTCACACTTAAATTGAATTAGGCTGAAGTTACTTGCAAAAAAGATACATGTATGGAATTTAATTCTGAGAAACTGATTTTCATCTTTATGTGTAAAAATGTAAAGTAAGTTTAGCAAAAGCTTAGAGTATTTGGATGCAGTTCTTGTTTACATTTGAAATAAATAGTTTCCCCTTTTTGTAGCGTTAACCAGGCAATACCTCTCTTGCTTTCTCTGCCAGTAACCTACAGTTCAATTCAATTCATCTGTATAAAATGTAAGCTTCGATTTAACATTAAAAAACAAGCCCAATAACCACAACAATAAACGCTATCAGAATTGATCATGACAGTGTTTCTAAGGTTTAATTTCGTATGAAAACCTACTACATTCACATAATATGTTAATAATGAAGTCACAAGTAAACAATAATTTGTAAAAGAGGAATACGCGTGGATAAATGACTTCTTGCTTTCTTGCTAGAAAATTACAGTCCAATCCAATACGGTAATAACTATTCGAGGTATGTGTTGCGAGAGAGTCGTGTCTTATTACTCAAAATGCAGGGTCTAGAGCTGCCCCGGGCGGTTCTTCCATGCTCACCAGAGCGATGACAGGCTGCTCTACTGCGCATGCGCAGGTACACCTCCCAAAGCCGCTGGAGCCAAATGGCTTATGGAAAATGTAGCATTAGCAGCCGTAAACAAAATAAAGCCGCGTTGGAGCTCCCGAAAACAACGACAA